TTTCAAAGCCTTCGCCTTGGTCATTTTTTTTGGGAAAAAAAATTGTTACGTTACGTAAGAAGTGCTTTCTTTGGATGCAACCTTTCGATTTATGTGTAATTTTTTTTTAAATAAATATTTTCTACTTGAGCTGTTTAATTTTTTTTGCTAATTTATTGTTTGGAAGTTTGAGTTAATTGACTAATATAATAAGCATAATAAAAAAATAATACTTATTCATTCTTTAATTGTAGAGTAGTTTTGTTATGGATAACCATGGATAACCAATTATTTTTATGGTTTGGTAAATAACCAGTTTATAAAATAAAATGCGGTTTCATATGAAACCAGTTTTTAAAATGTGCAGCAGTTTGGTTATGGATCAGTTTGGTTCTTTTGGACATTTTGAACACCCCTGCATAAATTGTATCGAATAGTAAGATATAAAAATATAATAAAAAATTATTTAAAAATAGATATTAAAATATTTATTTAATTATTTCCTTTATTAATACAGATTTTTTAGATTGATTTTTCACTTTTTCTGCAGTTATTGCAGATAAGTTATCTACAGTAAGCCCGATATGACGTCGTTTTGGAGCGAAAATCATGGTGTTTTTGTAATTTTAATTTATTTCAGGGTTATTATATTCTTTATAAATAAATTTTTTAATATTTCAATCCCTAAACGACGTCATTTTGAGAATAAATGCAGATAACTTATCTGCAGTAACTGCAGAAATATTTTTCTGTTAAATCATAAATGAAATCTTTATTTTCTTTTCCTTAATAATAATAATTTTTTAGATTTTTTTATTTTAAATCATAAATCAATTTTTTTTTTATATTAAAAATTTTAATTTAATTTTCGTATCGTATAATATAGGATACGTATTGTACCGCCCAATACAAACAACTTTCCAATACATTCCACGATACGTATTGTTATGCTTGTGCATCGTATCATATTATATGAATCGCATTGTGCATCGTACAATATTGATAATTATGCTGTCAAAAATAGATTTGATTAGGACAATAGAATAATGAAATTAGTGTTTCTTATATTATAGCAGATAATTTTATCTACTATATATATATATATATATATAAGGCAAGATTTTTTGACATCGGTGTCAAATTTAAAATTTTATTTAACGACTTTCAGATGAGTTGTCAAATTTTAAATTTGACATTAGTGTCAAACGATCCTACCTTCATATAAAAATGTATGAGGTCTATTTTTTTTCTTTCTCAAACTCACATATTTTTACGTGTATTATAATAGACAAATTCTCTCGGAAATATTAATCCTAGAATAATAGTAAGTAGTAATCCTCAGTCAAAAGGAGGTTGAATTTGTATAGAGAACACCACCGACCTACTTGAACTTCAGGTCACTTTTGAAAAGCATGTCACAGATATTATTTGCTTTATGGAAAAGTTAAATATATTACTTGAAGAATTTTATTTCTTAGTATAGTATGGTACTATTAACAGTGCATTTAGCCAAAGATAATTTGAAAATTGCCCAAAATTTATTAAGTGGGGTTCTTTGAATGAACAACCGATCGATCATTTTGTACTGTTTGTTATTATTATTGTTATTGTTATTTTGTCAAAAAAGAAAAGGACAAGTTTCATCTATGTGTAATTGTCAACTAAGCAACTAACAATAACGTCGAATTGTGTATCCAGAAAAAAAAATTCTAGACATATCAGTCAACAAAATCAGGCGCGGTGATTTAAAAAAAAATTAAAAAGGAAAAGATAAGTGAAAAAACAAATAAAATAACAACATAATAAGAAAAATTTTATTTAAGAAAATTCTTACTTTTTAATTTAAAATTTAAAATTATTAAAAAGAACTATTTTCAAGAACCATAACATAATAATTAAACCTGCAGTATAATAGTTTTTCTTTATTTTTTATTTCTCACCGATTTATTGATTAGTATGGCGGGTCAGAGGTAGCCCATAATTAAATATTATTATTAATAGATTAATTTGCATCAACCGCAATAAATGGGTTTAATATAATATTTCAACCCAAAATTTTATACTATTAAATTTATGAGTCATTTAATTTATATGAATTTCACTTAGTTTATTATCAAATAATTTTGAATTTTATCACACTTGAATATCCCAAAAGTTATGTATCTAAAAGTTGAGATTATTAATTAAACTTGAACAAACACTGCTTGTTGATCCACTACTTGGCAATATGGCAATTAAATTAATTGTTTTAATACCTTACCCATTAATTTTAGATATGTTAAAATTTGATTGTTTTTAGAATACAACTTTTAAAAAAAAGAGGAAAAAATTTATCTTCGTAATCTCGAGATTTGTTTTTGTCTTCCTAAAGAGTGAATACTTTTTTTTTTTTTTTGAAAAAATAAAGAGTGAATACTTGAGAGGCTATGATATTTCATATTCTTGCGGGCTCCACGGTTTTCCAATTTTGTTGCTTTCCCATCAATTGCCACTTTGAGATCCGACAGTGGATTATAAAATAAGTGTCCCTAAATGATATGTTTTGCCTTCTATAATGTATCAAATATATTATCTACAATTCCATTGCTACAATGGAGGCATTTCGTTTGTTAGCCAGAACCATTCAACGTAGTCATGATGAAGAGTCCACTTTCAAAAAACCATGTTCTACCTTCCTTCACACAAATATCTAGGGTGATAACTCATAACCCAATGTTTTCTCTATTAACAGAAACAGTGGCCATGAGAATATCAACCAGGGCAACCAGAAAGCATATTAATTGGGTCATCGACATGCAAGGTAGAACCCTTTCTTAAAAAATAAGAAGTAAAAAAGAAGAAAATATACAGAAAAAGAAAAAAACAAACAATCCATTGAGGTCCATATGTTTTACTTTTAAAAATATTTCATGTTTTATAGGTCCTTTTCATCATCTACCACAATGATGAAAGAGATTCCAAAGAATAAACAGTGAATCCAAAGCGAGCCTAGTCGATAATGACAACACCAACATGCCAAGGGTGTGTGTCGTGTAAATATTGCCCCCTAATTTCAACATTGTACACTGCTCGCTGTTATCCTAAAGCATGGCCTTAATTATGTGAAGTGATTGCAGTCAAAAGTCAAAACTGCTAATGATGAAGTTGTTGTTTTGGTTTTTACGCAACTCTGAGCCCCTTGATCGGCACTTTTTCATAGTGGCATGGCATGAGGTATAAATTCTATCTTAAACCGGTTAACTAAACTACAAAAACAAAAAGTAAAAACATCAATAAATCATCACTATAGATAAGCCTAATAATTATTTGATTTCAATAGTGACATGGGATTTAATTTCAGTACATTTTACTTCAGTCTTCTACTCTTTTTATTTCCCTTTTTTACTTTTGGTTTTGGACCTTTTCATTTATTGATAAGCTCAAGGTTAGGAAGCCTGACCAATTTGGTCTGACCTGGAATTAATAGAACTGTGATGGATGGTCTTATTATGTGGTGGTATGAATAAAGCTGGCATGTAAGGGTAGATCACTGTGTCAAATATGAACAAAATGTGCTATTTGCAGAGAGACTTTTACCAGGCATGCATTAAAGTGACATCTAATACAAAGAAGTGGGTTTTTTTTTTTTTTGGGGGGGGGGGGGGGGGGGGGGGGGGGGGAGCAAAAGTTAAAGTACTACATCAAACGAAACATTATCTTCTTGGACTAACCATCCAATTTGCTTGCAAATTGCATTAGAAATGATGCTCGTTTGAGAAAATAATGCAGGATTAGAAACCAATGTAAAATATACATGCAAAAGAAAGGAGTACAAAACCCAATGCCATATAAAACCAAAATAGACACATTAAACAGTGCGTAAAGAGTACATTGTTCGCAACCCCCAAATTTATACTGCCCATGTGCTCAGAGGGCTTTTCTTGCTTAGATTAATGTATTTTACAAGTCGCACCTTGTTCTATGTGGATATTCTTAATGTGACTGTTAAGTATAAGATCAAATTCCTGATTCTGCTTTTGTTTTTTTTTACTTTTAAAAATTGCTTAGATTTTTTCTTACAGAACTTTCATAAATTTTATTTTGAGAATAATTTTTGAAAATTTGTTGATGTTCCGGTGATGATGGCAGCTGCAATAGCAGCTCCAGCAACTAGTGGCAACGGCTCCGGTGATCACTGTGGTTTGAAGTATATAATTTATAAAAATAAGAAGAAAAAAAAAAAACTAAAATATATTTTTATTTTTCTATCCTAAAAATAATATATGAAGAATAAGTTCTCAAATTGATAAAAAATAAAAAACAAGTTTTGTTTTGTGTCTTACTCTTCAGGTAGTGGCAAATTCGCGCACAAGGCAGGAATCATTGCCTATTTGCGATTTCCTGTCATACCGACTTCCCCGAAAGTACCAAGGAATGTGTAGGGCACAATACATGGCACCGATTGCGGGGAAGGACAAATTAACATAGATCGATCATTTGATTCATTTAAATGACAGGGATGGAACAATAGCATTCCAAAACCGAATGAACATTTAAGTTTGAACATATTAAGAACTTGAGGTCACCACCCCAAAACTACCCCAAAAGCTAGCTCAAGGGGTGGGAGTGCCCAAAGCCTTATAAAGGCCATATTAGTTGCTCATCCAATTAACGTGGGCCTATATATCTCAACACGCCCCCTCACGCAAGAGCCCTTTAGGCTAGAAGCGTGGAAATTGCACAGGCCTATTTTTAGTTTACCTTTTTGTGTTTTTTTTTTTTATTTTAATTCCACTTTTTAAAGCGGGGAACGGTGAGGCTCTGATACTATATTAAGAACCTTGAGGTCACCACCCCAAAAGCTAGCTCAAGGGGTGGGAGTGCCCAAAACCTTATAAAGGCCATATTAGTTGCCCATCCAATTAATGTGAGATTATATATCTCAACAGAACACAACTTAAAAGATGACTTAGAAAGAAAGTCAAGATAGGTAAGTACACTTATTTGTCACCCTAACATAGGAATCAGATAAGCTGAGGTACGACATAACTCAGGTTGTTGCATGAAGAGGGAAGGGCGGGGTTGCTTCACATTAATAGGAAATTTGGGAAGGGAAGAATTTAGAAATTTTGAAGCAAAAACACTTCATATTGCACCCTGTTCTTCACTTTAGTCCTTTTATTGTCACAAGAGACAAAGAAGACGCCCTCCCCAGTGTTAACTATCACTGAGATAAGGAGATTCAACACTAGATATGTCTGTTCTCATACACAAACTCAATATTGCAAAGGTAAATACACTAGCACAACGCTTTAATCAACTGGCTTAGCTGCAGGATCTACAGCTTCGAGGCTGCACCTTTGTCTAAGAACCATTTCAACTCCCCTTCAGGTGAAACCATTGCAGCAGGTAGCTTATCAGAATTTTGAGATCTGCCCAGTGCAGAGTGAACGGCATCTGCTTTACCAGCACCAGTCACAACAAGTGCTATGTAAGCAGAAGAATTAATCACAGGAAAGGTGAAAGTTATTCTCTCTGGAGGTGGTTTTGGCGAGTCCTTAATGAAGGTAACCCATTTTTTATTCTCCTCCACAAGAGGATGCCCCGGGAACAAAGAAGCTACATGCCCATCAGGGCCCATGCCCAGCAGCATTAGATCAAATTTTGGAAACCCGCTGACAGATGACAAAGCTATCACATTATTCTTGACCAAGTGCCTGAGACATGTCTCATAGTCATCAGCCGCTCCTTCAGCTGACAGGGCATCATTGATTGCATAAACATTGCCTGGAGGAATGGGCACCTGCCAAGAGAACCGTGATCAAAGTACCAACAGGTTAGATTGACAGAAAATTATCCTGATAGAAGACTGGGGAGGGAGACAGTAAACCTTGGTCATTTAGTCATTTTAAAGAAGACAATACATGAACAATTTATAGCATATAACTTGAAACTGAAAGCAATCCTTTTTGAGATATGATCTTTTTATACCGGCGTGAGTTATGTTCTCAATTTTAATCATTGATCTCATTTGCATCTAACGGCTCATGTGACAAATAAATTAGAGTCATTATATGCAAATAGATTAACTGTTAATATTATGTGTAATACTTATTATTCTAACACCGAAGTAAGTTGATCCTAACCCATTCTTTTCCTCTCTTGCATCATTTTATAGGAATGAGCAAAACATTCAACAAATTTGTGAATATAATACCATCCTATCCAACATGGGGATTCATTTGCCTGATCTTCTATAAAGAAATAGTCTCTCCCTGAAATGCTTGTACTTGTCCATTCACTTCGTCACTTACTAGATATCTTTTTTCCCAGGATATCTTCACACCCTTTTTTGGTTTGAGATTAATCTCTTTGAATAGGGAGATATGTGATTAGGCCTCCCCACAAGTAAAGTCTCCATGCTCCAACCTTTGTCCTCCCCTGGGAGCACATCTGGGAGCACATACCATTGCACCCAACACCTTGTTAGCCGCTTAATAGATACTCTTGTAAAGAACCAATTCGATCCAACTTAAGCTGTTGGGTGAGGGTTTTTTTAATGGTTTATATTATTCTCTACTACATCCCCTCACACAAGAACCCTTTGGATTTAAAGAGTGGATATTGCACGGGCTCAATTTTTTGTTTACCTTATGCTTTACTTAATTCCACTAGAAAGTGGGGTCAATAAGGATTGAACTCGTGACCTCATTGTCACTAAAACCCTCGTACGATGTAAAAAACTAATTCAACCAAAAACTTAAGCTTTTGAAGGAAAACATGTCCATATACCATGTTCTATCCAATTCCAAAATGGAGTTCCTATCCTCACATAAGCGCTGTTTTTTTGCAATGGTTTCAACTCGATGAATTACATCCTTCGAATCAACCTCCTTTAATTTTTCCCAATTTTCTAATCGCAACACATAATGAACCCAAATAATAATAATTTCAATAATCGGAAATATGTTCAGGCTAAATAAATAATTTAATGAGATGACACCTAAAAAATCATGAACAACAAACCTTGGAGAGAAACCCATCAAGAGCAAGCTTGTAGTTGCTATCTTCATGAGTCTTTGGCACGACTCTCTCATCCACCCAAAACACATGCCATTTATGCCAATCAAGAGAATCAGCATAAGGAGGTTCCAGCAGTTCCCTGAAATCCCAACACAAAAAAGCATTCACCCAAAGGAAAAAAGTCCTCGTAATCCCATTAAACAATAACATTAATCTAATTCAATACAATTGATTATTATTATTATTATTATTATTAAAAAAAAGGAAAAAGAAAAAAAGAAAGTCACCGGAGATAGTTGATCAAGGAGCCACCAGACAAGACGACAGTGAAAGCCCCTCTTTGAGCGGTGAACTTATTGGAGAGATCGGCGACATATTTGGCCAAAGACACCGCAAGCTCCTCCTTTTCAAAGACCTCCACCGCAACGTTCTTCGTCTCCGACATTGACGCTTTCACCTGGCAAAGAAGCCTTTTGGGTTTGGCACTAACCACAGAAACCCCTTTGAATCTGAGGGGGCGAAAGAAGATTTTGTTGGAGGGTGGCTGCAGGTTTGGGTTTGGTAGGGACACGAATGGGATTTGCAAATTGTTGGTAAGCAAAGTGGAGTGTGTGCAGGCCATGTGCACTGTGTCGAGGGCTTCCTCTTATAAGGTGCAGTCAAATCAAACGCAACACATTGAAGCCTCCCATTTCGTGCACTTTCTTCTCCAACACCTATTTCTTCATTGACTTGGCGTTACTATCAACCAAGGTGCTCTTCCTAAAATTCATATTATAGAAGTTAACTTTTGAGAAACCAAAATAAAAAATAAAAAAATGAAGAATTAGTGAAGAAGTAAAATATAATATAATTTTTACTAAATGATACACTTTTTTTTGTTGTAGATGTTAAATTTAGAAAGCAAGAAAAGTGAAGGGATGGGATTAAATGAATAATCTTTTTGTTATAATATATAGCTTTTATAGATATGATTAGAATTTAGGAATCTGCAAAATAATCAAAAAAATGAACCGAACCGCCTTTAAAATAATTGGTTTTTAAAAACCAGTTAATGAACCGAACCAATTTTTAAAGAACCAGTTCATGAACCGAACCGGTTTTTAGAACCAGTATAAGAGCTGAACCATTTTGAACCGAATCGAACCGTTTCCGAACCGAACCGAATCGTTTTCAAACTGAATCAAATTGATTTTTATAACTTTATTTTTTAAATTTTAAATATTTTTCTTTTCAAAAGAGGATCGATCCAAACCGAACCGAACCATTTCCAACTGAACCGAACCACTTCCGAACCGAACCAAATCATTTCTGAACCGAACCATTTAAACCAATTCGATTCGATTTTTCAAAAAATCCGATTCGATTCACCCATGCACATCTCTAGATATGATGGTGGAGAAGGAAATTTATTCTGAATAACATATTGTATACTTTTCATTGACATGATTGTCGAGAATAAATGTATTTAGATTTTTTTTTTATCGAAAAATGATGATTGTAACAAAAAAAAACCTTTCATGAAAGTTTTATGAATTATTGTTATGGGAGAATATAGTTATTTTTAAAATTATTGTTTTCTTTGATTACTCGTGTTTTTGTATGTATTCTTTTTTCATAATTAATTTTGTGAAAATGTTTTTGTACTAAATATCATTATTCTTTTCTAAATTTATATGATGTTTCGTTTAATAAAAGTTTGTCTGTAGACACTTATTTTTAGTAATTTAAAAAATAATATACAGTTTTTTTTTTCTTACAAAAAGGCTTTACTTGCAAGTTGCAACAAAGTTCACTCTCTCTCCTTTACTTCTTGAATCAAATTATTCTATTCATGATAATGTTCAAGAGGATAGTAATACGATAATGTTTATGAGATACTTAAATAATATCTATTTACATTCAAAAGGGACCCCCCAAAAAAGGTTACCATTATTCATACTTATTTAGTGTCAATGCCTTATAAATAATTCGAACTATGGTCGGCAGCACCATCATATTCGTACGCCTTATTTTCTCTAGCTCTAGCAGAAGTTTATGAATAATTGAATACATTAATTCACTACTTATACAGCTTTGAAGCTGCACCCTTGTCTAGTGTTAATCACCAAGAGACAAGAGGTATTCATTGTAATCCTTGTTATATTAAACTACACAACATTGGTGCTATTATATAGCAAACTAATTGAAGAATACAAAGAGACACACTCAATGTGTGACTTCTATACTATGTACAGCAATACTCCCCTCAAGTTAGAGCATATAGATCGTATGCACCAAGCTTGTTACATATCTGGTCTATCCTAGGTCCTCTCAAAGACTTAGTAAATACATCAGCTAATTGATCATTTGAGTTGACAAAACGAGTGACTATATCTCCTGAGAGAACCTTTTCCCTAAGGAAATGACAATCTATCTCAATGTGCTTAGTCCTTTCATGAAACACTGGATTTGAAGCAATATGCAAAGCAGCTTGATTATCACAAATGAGAGATGTTGGGCCAGTGTCTCCAAACTTGAGTTCCTTCAGTAGCTGTTTTAACCAGATGAGTTCACAGGTAGCTGTGGCCATGGAGCGATATTCTGCTTCAACACTTGATCTAGCAACTACACTTTGCTTCTTACTTCTCCAGGAAATCAAGTTATCTCCAACGAATACACAATACCCAGAAGTGGATCTTCTATCAATAGGAGAACCTGCCCAATCAGCATCTGAGTATCCTACAACTCTGGTATGACCTTTGTTCTCATAGAGAAGACCTTTGCCAGGAGCAGTCTTGATGTACTTGAGGATACAGATTACTGCATTCCAGTGATCTTCACAGAGAGAATTCAAGAACTGACTTACTACACTGACTGCAAAGGAAATGTCTGGTCGAGTAACTGTGAGATAGTTCAGTTTCCCAACCAATCTTCTATACCTTTCTGGATCAGAAAATAGCTCCCCCTGATTTGGTAAAAGCTTGACATTTGGATCCATAGGAGTATCAACGGGCTTAGCATTTAACAATGTTGTTTCCTCAAGAATATCCATAGCATATTTTCTCTGTGATAGTACAATGCCATATTTGGATTAGGCCACTTCTATCCCTAAGAAATATCGGAGTCTTCCAAGGTCCTTTGTTTGAAAAAGATGGCACAAATGTTGTTTTATCTGAGTTATGCCATGAGTATCATTACCTGTAATGACGATATCATCAACATATACTACCAAATAAATAGAACCTGAATCAGAGTGTCTGTAAAAGACTGAGTGATCAGCCTCACTTCGAGTCATGCCAAACTGCTGCACAACAGTGCTAAACCTTCCAAACCAAGCCCCGGGAGACTGCTTTAGACCATACAAGGATCTTCGAAGACGACAAACTAGGTTAGACTCCCCCTGAGCAACAAACCCAGGAGGTTGCTCCACATAAACCTCTTCCCGCAGATCACCATGGAGGAAAGCATTCTTTATGTCCAGCTGATACATAGGCCAGTGATGAATGGCTGCCATAGTAATAAAGAGGCGAACAGAAGTCATTTTCGCCACGGGAGAAAATGTGTCACCATAGTCAAGGCCAAATATCTGAGTATAACCTTTAGCCACCAAGCGGGCCTTAAGACGGTCCACCTGACCATCCGGACCAACTTTAACCGTGTATATCCATCGACAGCCAACAACAGACTTCCCAAAGGGAAGGGGAACCAGATCCCAGGTACCACTACTATGAAGTGCACTCATCTCATTAATCATGGCCTGTCACCAACCAGAATGTGATAACGCCTCACCTGTAGTCTTAGGAACAGATATAGAAGAAAGAGAAGAGAGACAAGCAAAATGGGATGGTGAAAGACGATGATAACTCAAATTTATTAAATACCTGGGAGGGGGACGGGAATCACGAGTACCTTTTCGGAGTGCAATGGGCACATCAATGTCAGACGGAAGGATCGGAGCTGCTGATGACGGAAGTGAGTCCACAGGAGCCTCAGTAACAATAGGGGCAGACTCGGTGGGGGCAGGGTCCTGGGGAACAGGGGGACGTTGCCGACGATGATAGACCTGGAGGGGGGGAACAGGGGCGGGGACATCGAAAGAAGGAGATGGTGAAGGTATATAGTGAACTGAAACAGGTGGTAAAGGTAGCGAGTAGCAACAGAATCACTGGGATGGGAGGAGGAGTCAAAGAATGGAATAGACTCAAAGAATGTAACATCCGCCGAGACAAAGTAACGACGAAGACTAGGAGAATAACAACGATAACCCTTTTATGAGCGAGGGTAACCCAGGAAAATACATTTATGTGACTTAGCAGATAACTTGTCAAGACCAGGACTGAGATTGTGGACAAAACAAGTAGAACCAAAGATGTGAGGAGTGAGTGGGTACAAAGGTTGATGGGGAAACAACACAGAATGTGGTACCTGATTATGAAGTACGGAAGAAGGCATCCGATTAATGAGATAACAAGTTGTGAGGACAGCATCGCCCCAATACTGGAATGGGATATGACCATGTAACAAAAGTGTCCGAGTAGTCTCAATTAGGTGACGATTCTTGCGTTCAGCAACCCCATTCTGTTGAGGGGTGTGTGAACATGATGTCTGGTGAAGGATGCCGTGAGATGCAAAGAAGGTTTGAAACTGATGAGACAAATATTCAAGAGCATTGTCACTTCGAAAAATGCGAATCGAAACACCAAATTGAGTAAGGATTTCATTAAAGAACTTGTTAAAAATAGAAAACAATTCAGACCGATTTTTCATTAAAAATAACCAAGTACATCGAGAATAATCATCGATGAAAGTGACAAAATATCTGTACCCCATAGTGGAAACGGTACGACTAGGACCCCAAATATCTGAATGAACTAAAGCAAAAGGAGACGAAGACCGACGACTGACACGATCGGGAAACGAACTACGAGTGTGCTTCCCTAACTGACACGACTCACAAGACAAACTAGATAAATTTGAGAAACGTGGGACCATCTTCTGGAGCTTAGCAAGATTTGGATGACCCAACTGAGCGTGGATAGTAATCGGAGAATCCACAACAGAGCACACTGGAACAGAAGTTGAAAGCTGATAAAGGCCATTGGACTCAGATCCGACGCCAAGTGTCCTCCTCGAGCTCCGATCCTGCAAAATGACAGACTCTTTAGTGAAAGAAATAATACAGTCAAGGGATTGAGTCAAGCGACTAATGGAAATAAGGTTGAAAGGAGAATGAGGAACATAAAGCACATTCGCAATGGGAATAGAAGGAAAAAGGAGAACAGTGCCAATCCCTTGGGATTGAACTAGTGACCCATTAGCCATAGTGATACTGGGCAGGGGACCAGACGTACAGAGAGAGGTAAATAAAGACTTATTACCAAAAATATGGTCAGATGCACCAGAATCAAGAATACATGGACCAAGAGAGGGCGAGTGAGAAACACCAGCAAAGGAATTACCCGTGTGTGCACTAGAGGCAGTGGTACCAAGAGGTGGCTGTGATCCAGCAATCAAGGCAGAGTCCGAGGCAGGAACAATAGTTTGAGCAAAATGAGCGGAGCGAGGAGGGCGACCGTGAAGATCCCAACAACGATCAATAGTATGGCCCGATTTTTTGCAATGAGTGCAGAGAAAGCGTCTCGTAGAGGGTTTGCTTCCACGTGCAAAACCCTTGGAGACAAGGGCAGATAGGTCAATTGAAGAGGGAGCAGATACTGCAGGCTCCATAGAAGTCTTAGGTGGAATGCGAAGCAACGTAGACCAAACAGAGTCCAGCGATGGAACCAGCAATGAAAAGCAAAGAACCGCCTGTGAATAGTGACCAGCAAGGGAAAAGACACCGTAGGAAGGCGAAACGAAGTCGAAACAACAAAGTGAGGACAGATCCAAGTGCGCAAGGAGAAGACGAAGGGAACCGTGGTGGTCCGACGACCAACCGGAGTGGGACGCGCCGCTGCAACAAAACGGGTTGCAGCTGCTGTTTGACGCGCGTGAGAGCGCGTGGAGGAGGATCTGAGGATGGGTCCTGGACAGAAAGGAGCGCCTTCTCGTGGCGATCAGATCGATATGGGTTTCACTGGAAAACTCACCGGAAAAGTCGCCAGAGACGGCGGTGGACGACGGCGGTCAACGACGGTGGACGGCGGTGGACGGTGGTGCCTAATGGCGGCAGTGATCAGACATGTCCATAGACGATATATGGAAGCCGGAAACTGGCAGATATGACTGTTGCCGAGGAAAAAAAAATATTTTACTAAGCAGACAGTGGTCCACCGGAAAAAAAACGCGGATTAGGATTCCTCTTGTTAGACTCTAGATACCATGTTAATCACCAAGAGACAAGAGGTATTCATTTTAATCCTTGTTATATTAAACTACACAACATTGGTGCTATTATATAGCAAACCAATTGAAGAATACAAAGAGACACACTCAATGTGGGACTTCTATACTATGTACAGCAACATCTAGGAACCATTTCAACTCTCCTTCGGGTGAAACCAATTGAACGGGTAGCTTATCATAACTCTGAACTTTCTCCAGTGCTGTATAGACTGCATCTGCTTTACCAGCTCCAGTTACCACCATTGCTATATTTGAAGAAGAATTAATCACAGGATATGTGAAAGTGATTCTCTCTGGTGGCGGTTGTGGGGCATTTTTGATAAAGGCAACCCATTTTTTAGTCTCATTTAAGACAGGGTGTCCAGGGAACAGAGAAGCTACATGCCCATCTGGTCCCATATCCAGCAACATGAGATCAAATTTTGGAAATTTAGTGGCTGATGATGAAGCTATCACATTACTAGCAACCAATCGTCTCATAGTTGTTTCATAAACATCAGCTGCTCCTTCCACTGATAAGGCATCATCAATGCTGTTAACATTCAAAGGAGGAATTGGAACCTGCCAAAGAGAACAACAAGAACAAGTTTCAGTAATCAAGTTCATGTTGGCCAAAAAACACTCAAAATGTGACATTGTGGTAGTCTTTTAAAGCATAATATACCTTGGAGATAAAACAATCATAAGCAAGCCCGTAGTTACTATCTAGGTGAGTTTTAGGTACTACTATTTCATCCGCCCAAAATACATGCCACTTTGACCACTCTATAGAGTTAAGATATGGAGGTTCCACCAACTTCCTGAGATTGCAAAATCAGAAAAAATTACAACAACTATATATATATATATATATATATATATATATATATATACACGGGCTTAACATTTCTCAAGTTGCTTGAAATAATTTTATCTCCAGCTACTAAATCATAACTACACAAAGATGGATCAATGGTAATGAAGGAAGAGAGATAAAAGGGAAATCATAACCATTTAAAAGGGAATCAATTAATATAAGGAAAGAAATAAACAAAACGACATAGTTTTGAGGTAGCCGGAGATAAACTTATCTCAAGTTGCCGGAGAAATATTTTTTCCTGTATATATATAACAGACAAGATGATGTAGTATGACAGCAAGATGTGTAGTATACTTAACTCAGGTACTTAACAGACCCGCCAGAGAAAACAGTAGTGAAGAACCCCCTCTCTCTGATAAATTTGATGGATAAATCAGAGACATATTTGGCCAAAGACACAGCAAGGTGCTCCTTAGTCAACACCTCCACATTCTTGTTGTCCATTGATGCCTTAACTGATACACCAACATTATTTCTTTTGGAATTCATGCCAATTGGAGAAACGTCATTGTACCTCAGAGGGCGACAGAGGGATTTCCGTCCAACTTGGGGTGACAACAATGATGTTGTTGAGGATAATGTGCGTGACTTATGTTCAGAATGCAATATACTTTGTGGAGTGCAGGAGAAGGAGAAAGATGGGAAAATGGCCATAGGTGTTAACTGGTCAACAAATAGAAAGAGTTTTGGAGTGTAGATTTTGTAGCCTGCATTTCACTTGGCTGTTGGGCATGGTTACTTATGTTAGATTAGTCATGCTTTTATTAATACTCGAAGCAAGGTATGGATACGTATGCTAGTACTAGAAGCAATCACATATAAGCAATATATCTAAATTATCTAATACTAGTACATATATAATGCTTATATGTGCTTGTTTCTAGTACTAGCATACGTATCCATACTGTTCTGGATGGCCCAAGTACTGGAGTGGCCCAACTACTCAGGCCCAACCCTCAGCTGACCCAATTACTCAAGCCCAGCCCTCAGCCTTGTTCCGCGTCAGCCCTTAGGGCTGACATGGACCCCCTCAACCCCCAACGTAGCAGCAGGCCCAAGGCATACACCAAAATGTCCCATCTTGGAACGCTAACCATCGAAGGCGACTACGACAGACACCGCAAAGGGAAACTCCCCCTTTGCCCGGTGCTGACACCGCCAGAATACAGAGGGCGTAGCACTGCCACAATGACAGCGCCAACACGCCTAACACTGCATCATGGGAGTAAATCCCAAGGAGAGTTGACCTCCCCCTCACCAACCCACACCATTTCCCCTATAAATAGCCCCCATGGGCACACCTTACAGGTATCTTTTATGTACTGTTGTTATGCCCATTTACTTCCAAGTCATACTCTTGTTATTTATCTGCCATTGATATCAGCTTGCCACCTCCTGGAACTATACCTTCTAGCCTGGTCTTTACCTCAGCTAGTGGTATAATCCATATAATATAGGGGTGTTCATCAATCGATCCAAACCGATTTAAACCGCGGTGACCGAACCGAAAAACCGATAACCGAATAAACCGAAAACCAAAAAACCGAAAATCGAAAAAAAAATGTAAATTTTAATTGGATTGGATCGGTTTTTGGATAGGTTGATGAAAACCGATCCAATCCAAACCGATCCAATATATTAATTCTCCTCTACCTACTTGGGTCTTTCTCTAATCATAGCCTAAAAATATCTAAACTCAAGACTCATTAACCCATCAACTAAACTCAAGAAAAAATCTAGTCACATCTCATTAACAAAATTTTATCTTTGTAGAGCTTCATATCTCATTGCCCAACAAAAAAAAACTATATTATAGTTTACTACTGCTTTTGTATTTAAAAATAAATAAATTACAAAGCCAATATATACAAAAGATGTTATTTGCACAATAATCATGAAATAAATTTTGGGATTTTCAAAAAACCGAAAACCGATCCAATCCAAACCGAAAAAAATTGGATTGGATCGGATCAGATTTGAAAAAAAATCCAAACCGAATGGATGATTATATGATCAAACCGAAGGGATTGGATCGGATGATTTTTACTTCCAAAACCGATCCAATCCAAACCGCGAACACCACTAATATAATAACATTACCCTCCAAGGTACATAGTGGGCTCACAGAGCCTAACGATACACATACCTTGCTTCGAGTACTAATTGAAGTTATATGTATACAATGAAACTCTTCAGACATTTAGTCATGTGAGATCTACGAATAGAGAAATAGCATGAAACAGATTTAACGAATATATTTTTGGTTATTTTTTAATCTACATACACGATACTTATTTTTAAATTAGTTAAGTTATCATATGGTTTTTTTTTTTTTGGTAAACATCATATGGTTTTTTTAATTTAATCTTGATGATACATACAATTATTTTCAATTTTGTGTTAGCATGTACTGGAGTTTTAAGTTTTAACATATTGTTGAAAGTGTAAGATAAGAACTACATGGAAAATGAATAGGGACCAAAAATACTATAGAAAACAATTATTTTTATCTCTATACTTTACAGCTACTCTGTATCATCCTACAATGTTATAATGATAACAGAAGGTAAAATGACATTGAAAATGATTATACATATAAAGCTTAATTTAATTTTTTTTATCAGGACTAAATTAAAAAAAATTCAGGTAAATAATAATATATTTTAAACTATATTTTACAGTTAAAATAAGAAAATTTCGTTTACCAAAAAAAATAAAAAGAAAATTTCAAAGATATTGAGGAACCTTGACAAGTGGCAAACAATTGAATTAATCCGGGAATAAGATAACTTGGGTTTCCAAACACGCTGTGAAACCTGAAAAACCCTAATCTAAAAATTATCACCCCTTATATATTTATTGTAAAGACCCCAAACCCTTAACAGCAAATTGGGAAGAGAGAGAAAATCAGGGAAGAAGAAAGATGCAGATCTTCGTGAAAACCCTCACGGGGAAAACCATCACCCTTGAGGTGGAATCAAGCGACACCATTGATAACGTGAAGGCTAAGATTCAGGACAAAGAAGGTATGGTGTAACCGAAAGAATAAGAGTGATTTATCCTCGTTCTCTTTTCTTCGCTCTTATTCGATTCGTTTTGTTTTCTCATTGACCAGGGATTCCGCCGGACCAGCAGAGGTTGATCTTCGCCGGGAAACAACTGGAGGATGGCCGTACCCTCGCCGATTATAACATCCAGAAAGGTTTGGAATATGCAAATTCGAAAATTTCATAATATGTAGCCATTTTAATTACAGCAATATCTTGAATGTGGTAATTTATTCATTCCCCATTTTTATGGTTTTGTAGAAATTGTGTTTAGCCATATTGTGTATGAATGCTAATGGCGCGCGTGATTGAGTGGGGTGGTAGTTCATATGAAATATGATGATGTAAAAATTTCATGAATTGTGCTGAGTAACTCTTGTTCAGACTGTGAGTCTTATTAGATCAGTAACTCTATTTTGCAGAGTCAACATTGCATCTTGTTTTGAGGCTTCGCGGTGGCATTATTGAGCCATCTTTGATGGCGTTGGCCAGAAAATATAACCAGGATAAGACCATCTGCCGCAAGTAAGTTTACATAATCTAGCTTTTATGTTGTTAGTAATGGATCCTGAAGTGTAACTAGTTGCATTTGGTTCCATTCCTGAAGAAGTAATTGCAAATATGGTTCTCCTGTTCTGGATAATTAATGTTTGATGTATTAAAGTTGATGCTTTGAGTTTGGTCAAAGGTGCCAGAAGAAGGTGCTGATAGACGAGGTGCCAGAAATGGTCAGCACTGGTGGAGGTGCTATCTTTTCTGTGAGGCACACACCCATGGTGCCTTTGGCATGCCTTCAGCGTGCCTTATTGTAGCTGATTTTTTTAATTTTTTTTTAAACATACACACGCACACTAAACTCACTCTGAAAGTCCAATCAGTCAACATGCTAAGTTTGATGCTAAAGGAAGTACAATAGTCTGAATTTTAAAAAATTAGTGGTTACCAGTCTATGGACTGTGTTTTGTCACTTGAACTTTTGATTCTTTGTTTTCCAATATGGATGTTATGCTTAAATTCTTAAGTTATATGGAAAATTAATGAAAGATAGTCATTTTTTTTTGTTTGTTTTATTGTTTTGTAAGGTTATCATCATTCTTGAGTTCTCTAGTGAGGCATATGCTTTCTGGCACCTCTTTGCTCAGGGCTTTGAAATCCCCTTGTGTCTTAGGGGCTTTTTTTGCCTTTGACTATCTTGGATGTGTTGAAATCTTGATGTGCATGAATTTGGACTATGAGCAGAATCTTTCAGATGACATCAAATATATGCGAAGACATGAACTTTCAAATAACTGCCTAACTGTCTTAAAACTTTTGAAAAAAAAGAAATATGTTCATCTACAAAGGGCTTCTTGTATGAAGCTTGATTGAATTGAGAATTTTAGGATTCAGTTCATTGAATATAATGCCTGCAATATTTGCTTATTTTTAAATTTTCTAAATCTTGATAGGATTTGTGAATCATTTCTTTTTTAAATGAGTTATTTCCAATTCTATATTTTTAGCGTTCCAACTTCACTGTTGAAGTAATTTCTTCTCGCTATGAACTTGTATTGGTGATTGAATTCTAACGTATAAGCACAATTCTATATTTTTAAATGTGATTGTAATTTTAAAACCATATATTCCTTGGAAAAAAAAAGAATATTCATAATATTTTTTTCTTTGAGAACCAAGGGGTGTATATTTGAAGATAAATATCAAAAACCTACATCTTATGCGATGCCATAACTTTGTATGAGTACTTGAAAATTAACTTGCATTGATTATTGGAGCTGAGACTAATCTTTATTGGTGTGTATAATTTTAATTCACAACCATTGTGCTTATACGTCATTGTGCTTTGCAGGTGTTATGCACGTTTGCACCCGCGTGCTGTCAACTGCAGGAAAAAGAAGTGTGGGCACAGCAACCAGGTAATCGCTTGTGCTTCTTATTTTACTGAAATGGAATTTGCATGTTATTATTATTTATAGTCATTGTGACGTTTATTTATTGTATTGCACAGCTGAGGCCAAAGAAGAAGATCAAGTAAACTGTTCTAATTGCTTGAAGAAGCTCTATGTTGTCATGCACTACTGGATGTCTTGTAGTCATGATAACTTCATTAGCTTAGTATTGCAGGGAATCTGTTGGAAATTGAACTGCCAGTTTTACTCTGTTATGATTTTAGTTTTCAATTTGAGACTGATAGATATCAGTTATGCTACAAAGTTCCATGTGTTGACATAATTTTGTTGCTTTTTATCATACGTGATGGCTTTTTTTCATACTACCGAGTTGTTTTACTAATTTACAGTGACATGGGAGGGAGTTTGTTTCACTGGTTTTTGCATTTGATGTGAAGTTGAATAGGTGCACCAATTATCGAAGACATAATAATGTTAACGAATTTTTTATTTCCGTATTTTTCTGTGAATGTTAACGTGGTTGTTAGTCAATAGAAAATTTCACTTATCAACATATATTAATTTTTCTAAATATGTATCAGCATTATCATTTTTAACGATAAATGTTATTAATTAGTACGTCATATAATATTACTGTGTGTCTATTGTATAAAAGTGTGATAGTAATTATTACAAAAAGAAAAAGAAAAAGAGTGTGATAGTAATGTAATAACGTGACTATATGATTGTCCAAAGTATGTTGGATCATCAGGACTGGGATTCCCGATATTACAGAGCTCGTCACAGTACGCACGGAAATTCAATAAAGGTTGACAATTGCTTTCAGAGTGATATGTTGCTCGTATATCATCAGGACGAGTAAAATTGAGATTGTTCAATTATGTGATCTCTGCCTTTCACGACACCTGATGATATATGTGGCCTTCAGTCAGTTGAAAAATGCCTTGTTATTCTCAGTCGGCACCTTGTGCTGAGGCCTCGCAACAGATATTATCTGTTTTGAAAGCCAAACCAAACAAGCCACGTCAAACGACTTTGATATTTACAACATTGCCTTTTAATATCTGATGTATAAATTGTTGAATGGGATATTATCACGTATACCTGGTTTGGAAAATGTTCTGTATCATTCTGCGAGGTGATTCCTGTGCTGCATACTCTAATTGAAGCAACTCGTCTGAGGAGAGGCGCCAACCAAGAGCACCCAAATTTTCCTTTGCTTGTGTGATTGACTTGACTCCGGGAATTGGAACTGTACCTTTGCATATGCACCAATTTATAGCAACCTGACATAATAATGCGCTGCATTAGATGATAAAGTATTTTGTTCAGGCAAGATTGGTAAGGATAATTTGTCAGAATCATCACTTGTCACGCACCCATGACAAGGACAATTAAGTGGGTTGGTCGGTAGCTCCTTAAAGGGGATCTTAGAACCTTTAAAAGATTAAGTTGCGTGGGTGAAGAAGGCACTTATAACATATATGTGACATTAAAAGTTGGCTTCTTGGGTAGTTGATCCTGTTAATGAAGCAAGAGTAGTTCTAATGTTATTGTGGATAAGATACAGCGGTTCCTTTGTGACTCCATATACTATTGATGTATGATATCACACAATCCTTTAATTGAATAATCTGTTACGCATAAGCTGCCTTGGACAATAAGACCTTGGTTTTCTGTTAAGTAGTGTTTAGTATTGGCTGATTTGGAGCTCAGAAGGAGCATAAGGGCCGAAGTGTTAAAGAAAGATAGATTAGGGGACCAAAGAAAGATGCTTATAGCCTGAATATAACTGAAAAAGTGGATTTCTCCAGAAGACAGGCCAAAAACTGGATGAAACTGTAACCGTTCACTTGATGGATAAGAAGACTAAATATGGATTTTGGTAGTTGGTGTGCTTCCCAGACAAATAAATGTGAGGAAATAAAAACTACAAAAAGGAGAGAAAACCTTGTACCACTATCTATTTATTGATGCCAACATATATTATTTTCTTTTGCAGATGTGCCATCGAATAGTGGTAGTAAAGAAATACGACAATTAAAATAATTGTCTTTCGTGGGATCTATTGACAAACATTAATGATTTTAGTTGGTCATCCAGCAATGCATCTTTTGCTACAGCTACACAGTGACATTCATGCAAGATATACTACGACATATACCTTCAGATTGAGATTATATTTTGTAGCATCTCACTAACTGACTGTGACAAGACAGTAATAAGAAATTACTAGCATATAAAGGAAATTAATATAGGAAAAAGATATACTTGTGACATGGTTTTGCGCCGTTTGTTTGCAATGTCTCTCAGGGAACTTAATAAAGGATCCAGTCCGGGAAGTATTTGCTTAAATAGCAACGCCCTGCGAAATGTGATTATTAATAACAAAGGTACTACGAAAAAGAGCTAATAATGCATCAGGCTATAAAATTAATCACTGAGTAGTGTTTTAAAATATTTGCTTAAATATCAGCTCACCTTGGACCAGTTGGAAGTTTGGATGGTGAGTATTTCCCAGTAAGCATTCCAAGTCCTAGAGGACTATAAGCAATCAGACGAATACCCAGAGAATCACATATACTCTTGATCTCTAGTTGATCTTTCCCCATGCTTAGCAAAGAAAATTGCACCTGAAATGTTGAAATTATAAAGAAGATTAATAAGAGAATACCAGTAGAGTATGATAATTGTTGACTGGTTGCCACTTACAGATAGCATAATGTCCTGGGGTTATTCAGACAACTCATGTTTATTAAACTGATATCTCTTTTAGAAACTCAATGAGGCGTGATAATATATTATAGTTATTAGTTTTGTTATGAGTACCTTTTCTCTACCTTTTCTTTTTCCTTTTCTCTTTAAAGTCTCTCAAGGATATTTGTGACTGGCTTAACAATCAGACCATGCTTATTAGTTACTACTGGGACTAAAAGGAACTTTCTCAATACGACAAGAAAAATTTGAAAGTTAAATTTCACAATTATGCATAACTTATACCTGGGCAGAGCATAACGGGACTCCACGGTCTTTCAGGTAATCATGTATCTTCAAAAGCTGCTTTGGTCCGTAATTACTTACTCCAACAGCTTGAACCAAACCCTATATGGCAACATAAATATGAGTACAGAAATTTCTTGTCATTGAAGAAATTAAAACGATTGTTTTTTCTTCTAGAAATAACCATTGAACTCAATGTCCAAATATGCTAATCTAAAACTAAAAAAGAATGTATGAAAAAAGAAAAAAGAAAAATGAAAATCCATACTAGTAAAGATATTATAAAAAGCACCCTGGCCTGATTGACTTTATCCACATTCAGTTCTTCAAGGAAAAGATTTTTGTGTCCTTCCCTTTCAGGTTTATCCTATTGGTGTTGCATTTGAAACATCAATCATGGTGTTTAGATAGGAAAACTCGTTTTATAAGTAAACACCGAGCCAGGTCTTTAAAGAATGGTTCACTCAAGGTCTTTATATATACCATATAATCCTACTATTAAACATGAATTATTGTAACCTTGTCATACATTGCCACTAAACCATCCCAAAGAGCTAATTCCTGTAAAGGAGCATAATTTGCAGTTGACCAATGTAGTTGTCCTATCCCAATTTGCTCAATCTGCATCCTGTCTAGTGATGCCCTGAAAATTTATTTCATTCAAGTTTAATATCATAAGTAAAGAAAAAAATCAAGCGTAGATTTGTTATGGGAAATGGGAAGCTCAGGAAGGATTTGATAGGCGTGGATATATCAATCCCGTACTATCATTCAGGCTGAATAAGAACATATCAGGGACAACAAAAAAGAATACCTGCAAGCATTCACAAACTGCCCTGGTGTAAGGCGCCATGGATATGCAGCAAACTTCGTAGCAATTACTATTTCACGCTGGCTCCCCTTTTGCTCTGAGGAAGTGAATTACGCAATTTGGTGAATAAGTGGGAATCAAAGAGTTCATTACAACATGATAATATGTTTTCCTATTAAGAGGGGTATGAAGGAGCCCTTGTTTCTACTAGTATGCGGAGAAGCCTTTACTGTTCATGCCACAAATCACACGCACAAAAAAAGTCTTTTAAAGAAAGTCGTACCTTCAATTCTAAATAGTCTTTTAAAATTTATAAGATTTTTTATCTAAAAAAAAAAGTCTTCTAAGATCGTAATCCAATACATCCCTCTAACCCAACAAACTTTGAAGTAACAGATTTGTGTAAAGAATTTGACTGGCTAAACATGACATTGCAAACATGACATTGCAAATAAACATAAATCAAACAACAAAACATGAAATAAGGGCAGAACCAAGTTACAATTATTTTATACCAAATTAAATGAAACTGAGAAAGGAGTGTGTGTGATGAACCTTGAAATTCTCGAATGAACCTCCCCAGAAGCTTCTCGCTCTGCCCATTTAACCTTCCAGTCCCATAAGAATCAGCAGTGTCAAAGAGATTGATGCCATTCTCCACAGCCAAGTTAAAGATTTGTTGAAGCTCATTATCCATGGATTCCTGGTAACCCCAAAGAAACTGATTGCCCCATGCCCACGTTCCAAATCCCATGGGAGATACACTCAGAGGGCCAATCTTCACCTGTCATAACCATTGAAGCTTGCTACTCACAACACAACACACCACACATCACATCACAGTAGTTCAAAGAAAAACCGTACCTTTTGAGTTGGCCAGAAGGAAGGGAATTTGAGAGACTTGAATAGGAAAGATGGTATCGTTAAAGGGTTAACATTTGAAGGGCCAACACTGCAGCAAGCTGAGAGTGCCATTGCTCAATACTGAAAGACGAAAGCACCACACGAACACCACTTTTGACTTCTGAGTTCAGTGTTGTCTTTTGTGTGTGTGTGGTAACTATTGAATCTTCGACCTCGTTATGGATCAGTCCATTTATGTTTTAGAAACAAATAAAATAAATTACAAAAAAAACATGACAGCTGTGGGATTTGAACCCACGCCCTTTCGGACCAGAGCCTAAATCTGGCGCCTTAGACCACTCGGCCAAACTGTCTGATTGGTACTAGTCTTAAACTATTTTATATATATAACTTTTTTGCTTTTTTTTTTTTGTGAAATGCTCAATTTGAATTATGGTGGGTTTTTTTTTAATGTTTGTTTTCGTGTATTTCTTTCTCCTTAACACGAGTGAAAACATGAGAGCATCTATCCCGATTTCTTGTACGCTTTGTTTTTTTTTTTTTTATACATGTACGCTTAGTTTATTATAGGGCAAATTTCCATTTGTTGGAGTACTCTTCAATTAAACAAAGTTGATTAAGTGAGATAACCAGCTTCATTTACTACATACATGTACTATAAAATTGCAAGTTGGTCTTAGTCAACATATTAACAAATTCACTGCTTAGTTAAGCCAAGCATTAAGTAACTCATTCTCATACTTAGGGTTGTTTGGTATGATATATAAGGCCTGATAGTACAAGCTTATATTATACATTATGACGTTTTCAGTTGTTTGGCATGATCAGTGTATAGTATAAGCTTATATAACAAGATTATTTCATACATCAAATTGATGTATAACAGGTCTAGAGGGGTGGGATTAAATCCGATAAGGTTTGATGTATTAGGTCGCTTCTTTTTTTTTTCCCAGTCTAACCCTTCCCATTTTTCCTTTGCTACGACGTATACGACGTCAATCTGTCCAATGTTCCAAGCGATTTTAACAGAAGTTGCTGTCATTCGCAGCTTGATGATATATCAAATTGGGTCTATTATATAGACCAAGATTTACAATTGGTTACATCAGGAAATCAGCTAAACTTAAGGAACAGAAAGCATAAATCAAGCTAATCTATTTACATCAGGAAATCAGCTAAACTTAAGGAACAGAAAGCATAAATCAAGCTAATCTATTTACATCAGGAAATCAGCTAAACTTAAGGAACAGAAAGCATAAATCAAGCTAATCTATTTACATCAGGAAATCAGCTAAAACTAAGGAACAGAAAGCATAAATCAAGCTAATCTATTTTAATATACAAGGTAACAAACCGTGATAGTTACAATCAGGATCCTAACAAATTAATGCTACTCTAATACTCCCCCTCAAGGTGGAGCATGGAGGGAGGAGATGCCCAACTTGGAAGTCAAAAAATCGAATTGTTTGGATCCAAGTGCTTTGGTCATAATATCTGCGGGTTGAGAACTAGTGGGGATATGTTGAGTAGAAATAGTCTTGCTGAGAAGATAGTCCCGAACAAAATGGCAATCTAACTCGATATGCTTGGTACGCTCATGGAACACTGGATTAGAAGCAATATGAATAGCAGACTGACTGTCACAAAACAGTTGCATAGGGGCTGCATGAGGAATATCAAGAGAGCTGAGAAAAGACTTTAACCAAATAAGCTCAGAAGTCGCAGCTGCCATGGCACGGTATTCAGCTTCAGCAGAGGAGCGGGATATTGTGTTTTGCTTCTTGGTTTTCCAAGAAATAGGAGAATGTCCAAGAGTAACAAAATAACCAGTGACTGATTTTCGAGTCAAGGGACAACTAGCCCAATCCGAATCACAATAGGCACGAAGAAGAAGATCACTGTCAGATCGAAGAAGGAGTCCTTGGCCAGGATTGGACTTAATGTACCGAAGAACACGAATAGCCGCATCGTAATGTATCTGCATAGGATGCTGCAAAAACTGAGAAAGTGTGTGAACTGCATAACTAAGTTCTGGTCGTGTAATCGTGAGATATACAAGACGGCCAACAATACGTCTATAACGTTTAGGATCATCAAACGGAGGTCCTTCAGCAAGAGCAAGCTTGTGATTGGGATCCATAGGATAAGCAACCGGTTTACAACTTTGAAGTCCACATTCCTTAAGAATATCCAAAGCAAATTTGCGTTGAGTAAGAAACAAACCGGTCTTGCTTCGAGCAAATTCAATGCCAAGAAAATACTTGAGGGGACCAAGATCTTTGATTTTAAACCAGGTTTGTAAATGAGCTTTGACACGGTCACAGAGAGAAGGATCACTACCTGCCAACAAAATATCATCTACATAGACAAGTATAGCAACATAATGGGAACCAGTCGAGTAAGTGAACAACGTATAATCAGCACGAGACTGAACAAAGCCGAAACTGAGGAGAGAACTACGAAGCTTAGCAAACCAATTTCGTGGGGATTGCTTGAGACCATAAAGTGAACGTTGAAGCTTACAGGCGTGACCAGACTTGGTTTGGGAGAAACCGGGAGGAAAACGCATAAAGACTTCTTCATCCAAATCGCCATGGAGAAAGGCATTTTGAACATCCAGCTGAAAAATGCTCCATTTTCGAGCTACAGCTACAGATAAAAATGTACGCACACTTGTCATTTTAGCCACCGGTGCAAAAGTCTCAGTGTAATCTTCTCCTTCGATCTGATTGTTCCCAGCAATAACCAGACGCGCTTTATAGCGTTCAATGGTTCCATCAGAATTGTACTTGATGCGGTACACCCACTTACATGGAATAGCTTTCTTACCAGAAGGGAGAGGTTGAATTTGCCAAGTATGATTGGCTTCCAATGCATCAATTTCGGCTTGCATGGCTTTCTGCCAATGAGGATATTGCATAGCCTCTTTAAATGATTTGGGTTCCAGGTTACTATCCACGGCGGCAAGAAAAATCTGATGGTGCGAAGAAAATAATGCATTAGAAACATAATGATCAATGGAATATTGAATACCTGAGTCGATTGGAGAAGTGGAGAGACGAGGAAAGGGTGTAGTCATTGTGTTGCATACATAATCCTTTAAATGAGATGGGGGACGTCTGGCACGCTGTTCACGAATATCTGCCACAGATGCAGTGTTGGGTTCTGTCAACGGAACCGGTGAACCAGGGACATCCGTGGATGAAGTAATAGAACCCGGAACTGGGGAGGACGAACTCCCCCTGTCATCAAGCTCCGCTGTGGGAGTATCAATAGCAGTAACAGGTGCCACATCATAATCGGTGAAGACAGCTTGTGGTGACGGTACATGGACAGAAGGTGCAGATGAAGTTGCAGCCAATGGAAAAATAGTTTCATGAAATAAAACATCACGAGAAACAAATATTTCATGAGTGGAGATATCCATGACCTTCCATCCTTTTTTGTTGAAAGGGTAGCCAACAAACACACACTTACGAGAGCGAGGAGCGAACTTGTCATGTGGTTTGGGTAAAACAGTAGTGTAACATAAACTCCCAAAGACCCGTAAGTGATCATACTTTGGTGGAGTGCCATGCAAAACTTCATAGGGACACTGACCACCAAGGAGTGGAGTTGGTGTCCTGTTGATGAGGTGAGCAGCGGTCAAGATGCATTCTCCCCAAAGAGATATAGGTAAGTGACCATCAAAACGCAAAGCACGAGCCACGTTGAGGATGTGACGATGACGACGTTCAACGCGTCCATTTTGCTGTGGGGTGTAAGTGCATGATAATTGATGATGAATACCGTAGGATGAGAGAGCCTCTTGGACTACAGATGACAAAAATTCAGTCCCATTATCACTCTGAATTCGCTTAACAGATGCATCATATTGGGTGCGAACCAAGTGGAGAAACCGAAGTAAACATGTGGAAGTTTCAGTTTTATTGCGCATCAAAAAAATCCAAACATGTCTACTAAAATCATCGACTACAGATAAAAAATAGCGGGCACCAGTTGTAGATGCCATATGATATGGCCCCCATATATCACAGTGAAGTAAATCAAAAGGATGTAAACAACGTTTATTATTAATAGGAAAAGGACTTCGTGGTTGTTTGGCTTTACAACAAACGTCACAAGGAGCCAAATTGTTTGCATTGGAAATAAAAGGTAACAAAGATAAATAACGGGAAGATGGATGTCCTAGACGACGATGCCATAGTGCTGCAGAATCTGACGTACTGGCAACATGAGCAGAAGCTGATGATGCACACAATATATACACCCCTTCTCGTTCAACACCCGTTCCAATCGTCCTCTTCTGCTTTAGGTCCTGTATCAAACAAACAGAATTAACAAACAATGCCAAGCAAGACTGGCGCAGAAGCTGAGATACAGAAATCAAATTACAAGCCAACGAAGGGACATAAAGAACATTGGAGAGATGAAGAGAAGAGCCCAAAGTAATGCTGCCACATTGCGTAGCAATATCATGAACTCCATTCGGCAGTCCCACAGAACAAGGAGAAATAGAATGCACATTGGATAGATAGGAGAGTGTGCCCGTCATGTGTTGGGATGCACCACTGTCGATGATCCAAGATGGGTGTAAAATCTTACCCGTAAGTTTATCAACTGGAGGGGCAGAAGAGACAGCCAAGGACATGAGATGTTGTAGAACTTCTGGTGTAAAATCTGCCATGGAGATGGATGCTGATGACGGCTCAGAAGGAACCGAAGGCAGAGAAGTATGAGCAGCCCAATTTTCATAATTGGATTGTCCACGGAGGATGACCGTGGTGAGAACAGCACCAGGATTGTCGGATGGGTGCAGGTAAAAGGGTGACTTAGAATCAGAAACCTTGAAGGTTTTAGGTGCGGAAGTCATGATGAAAAAAAAAAAAAAAAATGAAGGCTTGTTGATCGTCAAGCTCTTGATACCATAACAGAAGTTGCTGTCATTCGCAGCTTGATGATATATCAAATTGGGTCTATTATATAGACCAAGATTTACAATTGGTTACATCAGGAAATCAGCTAAACTTAAGGAACAGAAAGCATAAATCAAGCTAATCTATTTACATCAGGAAATCAGCTAAACTTAAGGAACAGAAAGCATAAATCAAGCTAATCTATTTACATCAGGAAATCAGCTAAACTTAAGGAACAGAAAGCATAAATCAAGCTAATCTATTTTAATATACAAGGTAACAAACCGTGATAGTTACAATCAGGATCCTAACAAATTAATGCTACTCTAATAGATTTGAATCTGAAATTTCTCCTCCTCCAAACGACGCCAAAATTGGTCATTGAGGACCTGAACCTGTTCCTTGCCGAGAATTCGACCAGGGGAGTGAGCTTGTCGGATGGCGAAGAGGGGTGCGGGATGATACGACGGCGTATAGGGGATGATGATTTGGATGAACCCGATAGTGTGTTGTGCGGTGAGGGTCTGTATTCGGTTAAAAATTTGAGGAAAATGTGCATTATGATGTCCTAAAGATCACCGTTGTTTATATGCGGTGAGATAAAGGATGAATGTGAGGTTGAGGCCGGTCAGAGTAACTAGAAGTCTAAGGGCACTCCTTCTTTAATATTTTTAAATTTTAAAAAATATATAATATTAGTAAGCATAATTAATATTTTTTTATATGTTAAATCATTTAAATTTAAAATAGGAAAAATGTGTATAATTTTAAATGGTGTAAAGTTGTGTCATTTTAAGTGAGAGAAAAAGATAGATAAAGAAAAAGAGAGAGTTGACAAAAAAATATCAAGGTGTGGATCTCATCTCTTTGTGAGAGTAAAATGACATAAGTTATGTCATTTAAAATGATATTTTCTCTTAAAAATATTCAATGTTCAATTACAACAACATCAAGCTTACACAAAGAAATATATATTATAATTTACAAGCCTTATACGACAGAGTGCAAAAGATAACAGTTTGTAGTTTCAGAGTTTAATTTATTTATTTTGGGTTCATGTCATCAGTTATAGAGCTTATAGGTCAAAGTCGAAATTGAAAGCCTATTGGATCATTGGCTTCACTAGGTTTGTCCGCAAAGATCAAGTATCAGGTGTTTAAACAAAACTTATATTGATGAATTTACTTTAAACCCTCAGTCACAGATGCTTTATATTCTCTGTTTATTTTACAGGAAAAATTGAAGACTGTGATCTCTATGCTATTTGAAACATACTATCTTTTCAAAGAATCTATATTCTCTGTTTATATTCACAGTTGCTTTGAACCATACTCCTCTTTACAGAGATTCTAGTAAATAAAAATCAGATGAACTGAAACAATTCCTTTTCTGGACTTGTATATTTGCCATATTATCTTGCTTAATTAGTAAATATTGCGGGATTTAGTTTAAGCAGTTTATTTGGGGACATATTTCCATATTACTGAAATAAATTCCTGCTAAACAAAGTTGATCAAATAAGGAGGATTATGAGCTGCATTTATTCCATACATGGTATAAAATGGAAATGGTTTTGTAAGACAAGCTAAGAAATTAGCATATTGACTGCTTCATGAAGTCAAGCAATATGTCATTCACTCAACATTTTGTACTTACGTGTCCTGGTCATGTCCTAAAGACCATACATGTTAATATGGATGTAGCTAAAGCCTAAAGGGATAAAAGAGGTTTTAGATTCAAACCCCTTGAAAACCATAAATGGAAAAACACACACACACACACACTCACAGACACACATGCAAACAGATTGGAAAGGCATGCAAGAATGGACAAACAGAGACATTGCACATTATTTCTTCTTCCAAATAATCTCTAAACAATTGAAGTGAGCGAGGCTATCTTAATTCTCTCCCTATCAAGTCAAGCCTACAAAACTTCATCTTTGAGCTTCTTGGTCTATCCAACATAAAGTTTCGAACATCCTGCTTGGGCTGGCATGTTTTGATTTTTGACCTGCTGGCTACATAGGAGCCAACCAGTCTTTGTTCCTTCTTTGAGGAAACATCAAACATGCAACATAAATTGTGGCGCACTTTTCAAGTCCAGAAATCTAACCATTGAGAACCGCTACATGACTGGTCTAAGATACCACTCGGGTCCACACTGTACCATTTTTCAAGTGATGCCAATGGAATCTCTGCATGATTATCCATTCTCACAAGTTGGTGTCCTCTGTCCTCAGATTTTTCAATCCTTCTGCTCTTTTCATTTTGATCATCTGAACACACAACTACTTTGTCCTCCAAACCCTCATTTGAAAACCTTGGCTTTGCTTCAGCCCTCCAATTGCTATATCCACTACCTGAACCACCATCTTCTGTGCTGTTTTCCTTGGCAACCTTGCCTTCCCTTCCACCATCATGAGATGTTTCCATCAAATCACTTAGCTTCTGCAACTGTTTGAAAAAAACACATAACACGTTTTAGGCCTAATGTTTTGTTGTGTTTTTGCAGTAAGAAGTGTTATTAGAATAACCAGAAATTTACCTCTAATTGCAAAGACTCATTCTCTTCCTTTAGTGAATCAAACTGAGATGCCAAACTATCATATTCATCTTTGAGTTTCCTGTATTCTTGCTCTATCCGTTTTGATTTCCACCTTGCCCTTCTGTTTTGGAACCATATAGCAACTTGGCGAGGCTGCAACCCAAGATCTCTTGCAAGTTTTATCTTCTTCCTTGGCTCCAGCTTTGACTCTGACTCAAATATGCATTCTAGTGATCGAATCTGTTCATCACTAAACCTTCTCTTTTTTTCTAACTTCTTGCTTTTCTTCCTTGGATTTTGAGGTTCCTCTAAGCAGGTGAGGCTTTCAACATTTTTTCCTTTTGAGGCTTGAATATTCTCATCTCCTTCCATCATTTTGGTTTGTGAGAAAGAGAGGATTTCACAGCATATGGGTGAATTCGGAATTGAATAGACAAAGTTAAAAAAAAATAAAAAAAATTATATGATTTTAAAGTCTGGTGAGGGGGAATTGGCCGCAAAATATATAGCTAGCCACAAGGAAAATATCTCAAGGCCATTTCTATCACGTCATTTGGACTTGTAATAGAAGAATCATTGTAACCTGTGGGATTAGATGCCGTGTGGCACTTACCATCTTTTTCTCTTTAGGAAGATATTATCTTTGGTCGTTTACTTGTGGGCTATCTGTCATCCCCTATACACTAATTTGTTTGTAGAAGGAACCGTCTACTTGTCAGTTGTCACTCTCATAAGCACACGTCTCTGTTGCTTTAGTATAAGTGAAGGAAGTTAATCCTTAAAAATATAAGGTAGACGTAAGAATTTACTACATCAATTATTGTAATATATATATTCAAAGATAAAAGGGACTAATTTGATCAATGAAATATACATTTTAGGAACTTAAATACTAACATCCATCTTTATACTAACTCTATATCTTTCTGGAAAATCTATAGGATTCAGAGAAGAATAAAATTGATAAGTGTTAGATAATAATATAAATCATTAAAAAGGCCCTCACCCAACACCTTAAGGTTTTGAGTTAAAGTGATTCTTTACATGGTATCAGAGCTTGAGTGATTATAAGGTCACAAGTTCGATCCTCACCGCTCTTCACTTTAAAGTGGAATTAAAATAAAAAGCACAAAAGATAAAGCAAAAATTGGACCTGTGCAATATCCACGCTTTTAGTCGAAATGACTCTTGCGTGAGGGTGTGTGTTAGAGAATAATATAAATCATTAAAAAAGTCTTCACCCAACACTTTAAAGTTTTGGGTTGAAGTGATTCTTTACAACAAGTAGTCTTTCTAATTATATGGCTTTGTCATTACTTGGAATTTTAACTTTTTTCAACTTTTGGCATAACATTGGTACCTTGTTGATACACTGGCATCTATTAACATTTAATGATGTCGTCTTGCTTGTATAAGCATGTGAACTTACTTTTTCAAAAATTAAAATAAAAGTTAGTCAAGTAATCATCTAAAATAACTATAAACATTCATATATTTAAAAGCTTTGGTTATAATGTTGTAGAGCTCAAGAAATAAAACTGACAAGAATAGAGAGAATAGTCAACAACTTAGAAACTGACGCAATCAAGGTCCACATGGATATGCAATACGTTTGAGGCTAATTATTTCCTTGAAAGTTAATAGAAGAAAAAGGGAGAAAAACAACAACTTGGAAGGCACATCAGTATGATAATTCAACTCAGTTACTTTCACTAAATGGCTGACAAAAATCGACCGTAGCAGAAATAGGATGTTACATTATTTGATTGTTATTGAAGGACTGATGTTTCTGTCAATAGTGGACCTATTTCTCCGTTGTTGTTTGGATCTGTTGACAAGAATTTCTTATCCCATGTCATTATTCTTTAGGTTGCTTTCTGAAGTTGGTTGGTTAGCTGAAGATCACAGAATTCATACAAACTGTGACCAGAAATATAATTTGTTTGATTGACACAGTTGATGGCAAAGGTAATTAGTAAAAGGGCAACTGCTTAACACAATTGATGGCCTATTCAAATGCTAATCTATACAAGTGCTTGAAGGCAAATGAAGGAATTGTTTTTCGTAGTTCATGAGCTATATTAACGTAGAGAAGAGAAAGGTAGAAAAATGGCTTCAATTCCTTATCATAAATATGTATAATAAGTCCACAAAGTTTAAGAGCTTAGTTAGACAAGACTCAAAAAAATATATTTGTTCTCCTTTAAAATGCTAGTTCAGATTCGATGATTGTAGCAGTATTAGCAACCTTTTTTATATGTAAAAAAATGGAGGCAGTTAGCTATACCACTACTATTAGCAATAAAAGCAGTGAATAAGCTATATATGCTGTAATCAATTTTCTCATTTCTGTCAGTCACTCAGTTAGATAAGAAGATAAGATGAGATGGGAATCATTTAATACTGTAGAGCTTCCATCACACACAAGATAAGGGTCAAAAGATGTCGCCTAATACAGACAAAATATTGCCACATCATGGAGTTAAATCACATAAAGAGAGTTTTTACATTTGTTGCCAATCATACTAGTTGGCCATATGAAAACCACTTAATTCCTGGTTTTGTTTTATAGCAAAAATAAGTCTACAAGTCCTTATCAGATTAAGCTTTAGCATGTTTTAGGTTGGCTTGATTAAGCTCTGTCCACTACTACTGGCAATTGCAGATTGGCTTGTCTATGTTTGGGTTGATGTTTGGTGAAGTGTCTCGTGCATACAAGCAAAGCAAAACTCTTGGATCAAAAAGTTGAGATGCCCCAATACTAGAGGTCATAATTGCACTCAAAGTGAGAGTGTTTTACTCTTGGAACATTTTGAGAAGCAATTCCAGATCAGGAAAGCCTACTCATTCTTTGCATCTCGGAAAGTCCAAGAATGCCAATGTCTTGGAGAAGGGGATTAACACTTTAACATGGGAATAGATTGAAGTGTCCAAAGAACACATGTAAGGGAGTTATATGGTCAAAAAATCAAAACACAAATTATGTAATGTGACCATAGCTAAAGAATACCAAATGGCAAAGGGAAGAGTACAATTGTATCTAGTCTAAGTCCAGGAATCTGGGCATCCTAATGCACTTATATATATATATATTTCTGCTAGGAAACACGTGGGGGAGAGAAGCATTCCCCACATCCATGCCAACTTTTATTTCTTAGTGAAAATGACACCATTTTTGTCTTCAAACGGCCATGATTAGCCTTGCTTTCCGTTTGGGTAAGTATGAATTATCCCACAAGTTGGTCTTCTTGTAAACGTCAAGCTATTGAAATCTTTACGGCTATGGGGTTCTCATGCTTTTGAGAACATGATAGGTGTCAAGGAGCCATTTGTGCCAATTGGGTGGGCCTCAAACCAATTCATAAGCAAAGTTAGGTATTAGGTGCCTCAAAGTCCAAAATGAAGTGATTGGTCTTCCAATCATTAGTAGGTTGAGTTAGATTCGTCTAATGATTGTTAAAAGAATCAAGGTTGAGGAGTATGTATCGGTTGAATTGAACTGAAATTTTTGAAAAATTGAATTGAATTGATTTAAATAATTCAGTTCAATTCAAAATCGATTCGGTTAGAACGGTTCGGTTCAGTTTGGAACTGGTTCGGAACGATCCTATTTTAAAAAGAAAAGAAAAATTAAAAAATTAAAGAAATAAAATAATAAAAATTGGTTCGGTTCGAAAGTAATTTGGTTCTTGAACTGTCTTTAAAAACTAGTTCAGTTCATGAACTGATTCTTTAAAAACTAATTATTTTTAATTCAGTTCAATTCAATTCAATTCACAATTCAGTTTAATTTTTTGGTTATTTTGCACATCTTTATCAAAGTTAACCGAGAAAATTAAGATTGGCGTAGGAATCACATGTGATATGTTAGGAGAGCCACCGATTCCAACTACCGTCCATGTACGATCCATACTAGATCTGACCAACTGTCCATCCTACCTCCTCTACGTTCTTGACAGGCCATCTCTGTCGTCTCAGTAGCAGGCCAACTTGAAATTGTGATGTTTCTCATCGTCATTAGCTATTAGTGATAACTAGTTGGTTCCTTTTTAAACTAGGTAGTTCAATGGGTAAACACTTATAAACTTGTTTTAGACTAATTAAGTCTATGAGGGTTGGGAACAACAATAAATAAATCATCCAAAATTTGAATGCTAGAGATAGTTGTTGTTAGGAGGATATCCTAATAAGTAACCTGTCGTAACAATTTTTTAAAGAATTAATTTCTCGTAAATACTGTTAGAGATACCTAATAAACAAATTATTTGAGTCAATGTCTAATTGGTGATTTGGTGTTGAGCATACAACCATGAATGAACACTTGTAAGCTATTAACGATGAGATGATCAAAGTTAAAGGCATTAACGCTAACAAAAGTAAGTTTATCAGAATCATTTGCTTAAAGAACTTCCGTTTTGGTATCATATAAGAACAAGTGATTTTAATTTGTCGCATTATCGTTGATACAAAACAACTTTGTGAATTTTTATTTTTTTATTTTAAAGAGTTATTACCACTATTTAAATATATAATGTTTAATATTGAAATCCAAACTCAATCATTTGAATTACATTTAGATGATATTTTTTTATAATTATTATATTAAGTGATTTACTATCATGAATTTCAAAATTTAGTTATTTGCATTTTTTTTTTCTTCTGATGTTTTCGTTATTTGCTTATTTATGTGTCGGAATTAAATATAGTCATTCATGGATAGAGGATGATCCAAACTAATTTTTAAAAAATGGGAGTAATATTTCTCATATAAAGATAAGATAATTTTATTTTCTATATAATACATGAGAGTGAGTGGAATCATGTAAAAAGAAGAGAAACAAAAAATGAATTTCACTTTTATATATATGTAACAGATAAAATTATCTTATGTTTACGATAGAAGAAATATTAAACCCTAATAATATTTTTGCTTGGATCTTAAATGATCCTTCTATGATTCGGCATTTTCAATGATTCCGCCTTTCTGGAACATCGATGGGGTTATTGTCATAAGAAACCAACACCAATAATTGGTCTTCTTTGTGGGCTACAGTACCAATAATGGGCCAATGATTTGATGTTCCTTTATGACTGGCTAGGCTCATAACAACTTATATAAAGAAATTGGATTAACCTGAAACTAGTGGGCTTGCACTATAAATACAAGAACGTTGTTTAGGTTTAGGGGCTCTTTTAAGGGGGCACAAAATATGGCATATGGCTTTTGGGTCTTCACCAAGGGTCTGCTTGCTTCGATTATGTATTAATTTTAGTTATTATGTATTTTTTTTTTCATTTTTTAAAACTTTGTAAACTTTTATTTTATGCAACAATGAACGAGGTTGATATGATTTTTTATTTTTTTGATACATGAGGATAAAATCGTGATAGAATATTTTTGTTGTAAATTTTATCGTACAATAAAATCGTG